CACACTTACCCTATCTCCTGGGTCTATCATACTTACCCTATCTCCTGGGTCTAACAAACCTGCCCTGTCTCATATGGCTAACATACTTTCCCTATCTCCTTGGTCTATCATACTTGCCCTATCTCCTGGGTCTAACATACTTGCCCTGTCTCCTGCGTCTAACATACTTGCCCTGTCTCCTGAGTCTATCATACTTGCCCTATCTCCTGGGTCTATCATACTTGCCCTATCTCCTGGGTCGGACATACTTCCCTATCTCATGGGTCTAACTCACTTGCACTATGTTATGGTCTAACACACTTGCCCTATGATATTGTCTAACACACTTGCCCTCTGTTATGGTCTAACACACTTGGTCACTCCCATTGACCGAACATATCTATTATGGCAGACGCGACTGTTGTATTCGAGCAAGTGCGATCCACCATACGAGACCACGGCGACAAAATACAGGAAATCATGTACGGTGTATGGACGGGGGCTGAGCCAGAAACCGACTCACCGTCCAATGAAACTGCAGCTATAGACAATACAGAAATAGCCTCCAGTGAAAACACAGAGAATGCTGCGACGAGCACGACAGTTAAAGACGAGAACAAACCTGGGTATATACTACGAAGTAAGTGGATGCTGTGAGGTGTTGTTCGTAAGTGTGGGTGTGGTTAGGGTTGTCTTCCATTGTGAATCCTTAACTACCACAGTATAGATGTTGGTCTATTTACACTGACTCATGCGTGTTCGAAGGCTGCACTAGTTGCAACGGAATCAGATCTTATGATGAACAAACAACGGTCGTCCGCCACTATATCTCGTTTCCCAACCGACCGCTAGTATATGTATGCACCTACACATTTATGTTTTTATTTGTACACACGCACGGAAAATACACATACGTATATAATTGTATGCATACCTATTCGCGTACCAGCGTGCTCATATAAACAAGTATATGTGTATATAGTCCTTTGATTGGTATGCCATACCCAAGACATTTGCTGCTCAATCCATTTAGTTCAGGTGCGCCTGCTCTTCAGTTGCGTCTAGCTGTCCAGTTGTTCTGTGTGCGTGCAGTACCTTAGCTTGACCAAAAGTTATGTTCGATCTAGTCTGTTTCACTGTCTATGTAGGTCAGATCACTGTATAGGGGCAGAAGAACTGTGTACGATACACTGTCTTATTGTCACTGATTTTTCGCTGTATATATGTGCGTGTGTGTGTGCATGTATGTGTGCATGTGTGTGTGTGCGTGTATGTGTGTGTGTTACGTACATACATACATACGTATATACTTGCACACATATATACTTCCATTCTTACATACTTATATATATATATATATATATATATATATATTATATATATATATAAATATGGGTGAGTGGGTGGGTGGGTGTATACATACCTACATATATGTTTACTTATGTGTATACATAAGTAGACATAGGTATACGACGATACACTCATTTCATATACTCATTCTGGCCTACCCTTTATATATCATGCTCCCAACCTATATCAAACCGGGGCAAGGTATACGAACCTTATATCTATTCTCATACTATCTATAGCATTGTCACTATCGTGCATTCACCTATATTGCGCATCTGAGTCCACTTCAAGTGCACACTTAACACCTCTGTGCTATCGCCATTTAACGCGCAGACGGTACCGACACGTCTGTAACGGATGTGATTCAGTGCGTGTGCCAACTGAATGTCAACGAAGGCTGTATGCTGCAGTGCTCGGGATGTCTGGTGAGTCTATGTATTCAATAAACACACCAGTTGATGTGGGTTGTTAGTATTGCTTATAGAGGTTGTGGTACCGTCATGTATCTGTGAGCCATAAAGGCTGTATGCTGCAGTGCTCAGGATGTTTAGTGAGTCATTGTATTCAATGGACCCGCCAGGTGATCATTGTGTACCTATCTGTATAGTTCACACTAATAGGTGCTCGCATGCAATACGGTATAAGGTGTTTCTGTATCCACGTTTCTATTTTAACTGTTGGTTGTATGCATCCTTGTAGGTCTGGTTACATGACACATGTGTGCAGCTTACGCCTGAGCAGGCAGCGGACGACTCCTTCGACTTTGTTTGCGCCGAGTGCCTTCAGGTGTCGCCCAGCGAGGTAGGTATTCCCACATGTCCATAGGGGCGGGTAAACTAATAATGAATTAATTCTCAAAGTAGTGGGGTTGTAGTACATTAGTAAATATAGGCGGGGTGAAGTCCAGATTGAAACACTTTGGCCTCACTGGGTGCCTTCAGGTGCCACCCAGCGAGGTAAGTATTCCCACATGTCGGTAAACTAGTAGTCAATTAATTACAAGTAGTGAGATTATAGTACATCAGATAATATACGCGGGGTGAAGTGCAGATTGAAAGACTTCGGTCTCACCGAGTGCCTTCACGTGCTCCCCCTCTCCTTCTCTCCTGGTCAGTTAGTAATTGAGAGAGTTAGCTACGCTCGGTAATGCACCTGTTGTACTGGGAATCTGCCGGATCACAACTCTGCCTACGCTTCCGGTCCTCTGCGGTGCACGATCACTTGCGCGGCATTTTATACTTCATTGAGCTGTAAACATAAACAACTGCACATATACATCACCCGTCTTCATTTCTCATCAGGTATATACTGCCCACGGATGTACACTTTTAATATATCACTCACTCGTACGCCTTTTCTCGGTGTTCAATGACCACTGGTTTGCTGCGTATGATACTCAACGCAAAAGCTCTCCGCATATCTTGATCGCGTGCTCTGCGTATATAGTTTATGAAGATATATACATTGGTATACATGAACTCAGCATTTCGCTCAGATCAGAGCCATCCATCCTTATACCAGCAGTCTGCGAATATCACATACATAACTACCACTCACTTACAATCCACCACATGTGTTCTTATTGCCCACCCTTCTATCTCGTTCCAGTTTCTGGTGGTTCCCAATGAGTACACCGACGACGATGAAGAACGCCACAACACCTACTACCGATATCTAGTTCGCGATGTAAGTACAGTCTTAGACCGCAGTCTTAAACCACAGACCAAGTAGTTATGTAAGGGATCAGAACCAGCTTCTTCGGGATGTGGGGTCGACTTGTTGATATACTTGTGCCTACTGAGTTGCACACTTTGCACTTAGAAGTAGTATGGACTTAACCCGATGGCTTTCGTCTCTGCGTATATGGTCGTGAACTGAACGCAATCTGTGTGCGAGACTGCTTTTCTATCATATGTATCAAGGGTGTGAGCTCCGAAGGCTAGTGATATTGGTCCCATTATCCCAGCGATACCTACACCCGCACATTGCCTTCGCTATGTACACTCACGCACTACTAGATCACAGAATGAATCATTTCACACTCCACGCGCGATGCTCATGTCTATCTCTTGGTACGTTGTCTTCTTGTAGGGCACCCATTACCGGCAGGGGCTGTGTGTGTATGTGCCTGTAAACACGCACAAACGGAGCAGCAGCCGTACGGCACACCAGAACATTATACGCATAGCTCAGATCTGGACCACTCCCGAGTATGTGTGGTGTAGGAGTATATCCGTATCTATTAGTGCACCTGTGGGTATTCGCTGTCCCATACACATACACACACCCCGTGTGGCTATACAGTGAGTTGTGTGGGTGACTGACTAGCACTTTCAGTCTTGAGCTACGATGAGTGCGTCGACTATATTGCGCATGTGCCTCCCGTTTCATACGCGAGTATAATACTGGAGTATGCGTGTGTGCTCTTGGAGGTGAGTGAACATATGTGCTTGCATATCATGCACGTGTGTGTGTGCGTGTGTGTGTGTGATGGGGGGGGGGGTTCACGTGTAGAGTGTTGGTCTACCACTGGTCTGTATACTACGACGCAATTCGATACACGGGGATGCAACGTTAAGGAGTGATTAGATGCCTGTGAAGTAGGATCCGACAACACATATAGGTTATACATACAAACGAACGTAGTTAATTTTAATAATTCGTCGTCATGGAAACCAGGCTCTATTTTCTATTTAGTTTCACATACTGACTGGAACAGAGCATATACATCCCGGCTATCTACACTCAATGCACCCTTCTGTCTTCTTTCCAGTGGTCAGGCGTATGTATCTGGCTCGCGCCACTACCGCCCCTGGGAAACACGGCACAAAATCAACCACCGCTTTGGCAAACAGGAAGTGGTCAAATCAAACACCACCATTGTGGCCAAGGTGGATGATCTCCTTGGTTGCTGTGCGGTTATGAGTACCAAGGACTACATAGAAGGTGTGCACATGTGTGTGTGTGTGTCGCATATGCCCGTTGGTTTCTATTTAGCTCACACACACATTTTATAATATAACTCTATTCATGTAAGCCTAGCATGAAAGGCCTTATTAACGTTATCGTCTCTCTAGTGTTTTTTTTAGTTGCACTGGTTGTCACGTGCTACCTCGCAACTTCCCTAAACCCCAAAACTCTAAAACCACGTGCAACCTCTAGATACTGATTTTATTTCTTTTGTTAGACATTCATGATAGATATATACTATAATACATGAAGATACTGATATTATTTCCTATGTTACACGTCAATGATAGAGATACATACTATATTCCATGAAGATACTGATATTACCATCTATCCTCAGGCAAAAGAATGGAAGAGAGACATACTATATCGAAGAAGATACTGATATCATATCTTTTGTTTGACCTGGGTGACAGAGGTGCACACTATATTCAATGGAGACACTACCATTATTTCTTATCCTCAGGCAAAGTATATGACATTGCTGAACGAGACACATACTATGTTGAATGGCGATACGACCCCGATTACGCGCAGTGGAAGAAGATCCGCAAGCACGACTTCGCCGAGCACCACACGGTGAGTGAGTCAGCAGTTAGTCACTGACTGCAAATAACAGATAGGCATCGTATAGTTGTTTACTGTGATACGATGACATTCCCATGCTTTCTCGCGTATGTTTCCAGAGTGGCCAAAGGCGTCCATATGCTGTTAGTGTATGTGAGAGGTCCGTATGCTGTTAATGTATGTGAGAGGTCCGTATGCTGTTAATGTGCGTGAGCGGTCCGTATGCTGTTAGTGTATGTGAGAGGTCCGTATGCTGTTAGTGTATGTGAGAGGTCCGCATGCTGTTTGTGTATGTGAGAGTAAAGTGGTGTTTCTGATATTGCATGAGCGGGACTGCAAGAAATCCAGCAGCAACTTCGTGGTGTTGCGATCATCGTATAGACGCCGAACTTTTCTATATCATAAATATTGGGCAATGGTTGTGTACGAGCGGGTGGTCAATAACACTGCGTATCAAAACGGTAACTTTCTCTTAACGTTTGAATATCTTGGAACGCTAAGACTATGTTTCCATCCGTATATTTTTAACTGATATTATCTTATTAGTCAACATCTTGAAACACTATGACTATGTTTCTATCCGTATATTTTAACTGTTATTGTTCTTATTAGTGAACAACTGTCGCGCCTGTACTTTGATAGTATCCTCTATAGTACGGAACTTTTACCTTTGAAGTTTTCTCTCAGAACTTGCAGGGTCGTGATAGACCGTGCAGCTCAATACCGGACAAAGCTTTCATTCAACTACTCATCATCATCTCTATCACATACCTACATCTGTTGTATGTTGTGGGAATCGCAGGACCTGTGTAATTACGTGTACAGGGCTACCCCCGCCGATACGACTCGATACATACTGAACGGAAGCGAGTTTGTCGAACCTCCCGCTTCAACAAAATCAAAGGGCAAATCTAGCCCAAATCGAGGGAATGGGGACAAGGCAAATGATGCCTTACGACCTAAAAAGGGCCCAGCAAAAGTCAGCAATGCTAATGTTAACACACATACATCGAAGAGAGGCGCTTCACGGGAGGGGAGGAGTGGCTCAAGTGTACCAGAGACTGGCACGGCACCCGATACGACAACTAACGAGGGGGTTATGGCAAATAAGATTGTCGGTTGTACGACAGCTGTTGGATATACGACGGCAGAGAGAGGCGCAGCGCATATGTCGCACGACGATAAGAAAGAGGCAATGGAGAGTATTCTGGACAGCCTTGCCTTAGAGGTGGACGAGGTATGTCTGTTGCACTGCGCGATCGACTGACTTGTTTTGAGAATCAGCTTTGAGAATCAGCAGGATGGTTTCCTATTGGAATACGGCAGTAGCTACAAAATCATTGTGATCTTGAGAGTCCTGTCATTCGCGTATGTCTCGTCTACTTCTGCCCCACTTTTCTATTCTCTATAAGAAATTGTGTATCCGCGTATCCGCGATGGGTCTTACAAGTTATTCATATGATTTTTCTTATCGCATTCGCAGGATATTCGCAAGGTTTCAGTAGATGTATCATTCCTGCTCGTTGGAAGCCGCCGGCGTTGTGGCAACCGCAGCTGACCATTCAGTCCAAATTGTCCCACAAATTTAACTGGGAGAGAGTTCTGAGAGACTTTTAGTGATATCTTCCACATTAACCGCTGAGTAGTATATCGAATGAACGAATGAACAAAAGTCTAGAAGCTGTACACCTGAAGTAAATAAAGTCTTCCACTATCACATCCGAAAAGTACATTCACTGGGTATGATGGAATAAGAGAGGTGTGCAGCCGAGAAGCGTCCTCGGTGAGTGTAGTTGGATTCTCTCCTATTACCACTGAGCAGTATTTATTGTATGGGCGGGGTGAATTAATTATAGGGAGCAGCCGAGAAATGTCTTGGCGAACTATCTTGGGATCAGGCACAATGCATTCGAGAAAGTTGTCAAAAGAGTGTATCTGAGAGACGTTTCCTCAAGATTATAAATACACAGTTCCTTGGCAAGTGTAGCATGAGCCTCTAATCGATACACTCGAGAAGTGTATTGAATGTGGGTGGTAACATCAATAAAAATCAACGCACGAACACAACCAACCGAACAGTATTTGTGAAGAGCACTTACACAAAATACAAATGAACAGTTTGTCCACTGAGTGAGATGAAAGCTATTGACCGTGTACTGGGAATGGTCGCGGAGAAAGTGCGTGTGTGAACGATCCTCGACATGTGAGAAGGACCTCAAACGAATGCATTATAGCACTAGATATTATTCCCAAAAATGAGCAGAAGCGCTCATGCCCTGGGGGTTCGGAAACTACGATCGTCCACAGAACTATCGAGAGAAAAAAATTACTTTAAATTGAATACAGTAATACTTTCTGCGAAATTAACCGCGAACAGTCCCTAAAGAATAGTAGCAGGTTCCTCTCGAGAGGTGTATCTGAATTGACTGGAATGTTTGAAAAGTACATGCACAAATTGTTTAAAGGATTGCAATCCATGTCCAAATCACGCTTAAACCGAGAAGCACATGAACAGTGCAGAATGAATTCGTTTACACACGTGAGATCAGATAGTAAATACCCTGAATCTCAAACAATCAATACATACACATATGTTAAATCTTAAACATATCATGCAAATACATATATACCTAAGACCTACCCAGGGATGTGTACGCGAGTTTATGGGGAGTGTTTTCTACACGAAATACATAAAGCGGCATATATTGCATTGCAATATTTTGGGTTTCAAACCTAGATACCGATTTTGTTAGAAAACCGGCTCTATTCAGTTCGAGGTTGCGGGTAATGATATCGGTGGCGCGCACGCTGGCCACTCAAATGAATACATATTTTCGATATCGTCTGTATTTAAAATATAGGCTTAAAATACTTTGATGTATGCTCGCATTTGTTCTATTGCATCTCAGTAGTGTCAAATAGGTCTAGTGATGATATGACAGCTAGATGAAGTTTTGACTGACCTGAACTCGAGATTTGATATTGCACACTTATTGCCTAGAACAATAGAATAGGGGCGCACTTAGGAAGTGACATTTTGTTACTTTTTTAACTAGTCTAGTGCACCCGCCGTTTCCATATTTCCGTTTATAAAAACCATTGTAGTAAACATTTATCGTCATTACAGGTTCGCGAGAAAGCTGTGTTGAAGAAGAGAATATCATTCAGGACTCAGATGCACATATATTATACTAAAAGCATTCCCCAAACTAGCTATATCTAGCTACATATGTATTTAAACTACCTACTATTGGTAGCGGCCGACGGGACCAAGAGTTCGGTACCTGACACTGCCGAACAGTCATGGGTTGACACATTGAAACTTGTTCTGCATGGAGATATGGTCCATGGGTGTTGGAGTGTAGAGGTGTACGCCAGTGGTGACCTGTTGTAGGGAAGGGGACTTGTATGGTCTAGGCGGGTTCTGGTTAGTTGTCCGTATCTTCTCGTGAACAGGATACTAGTGAGGAGATGAGAAGTCAAGGCGAAGGACGAGCACTAGAAGATTGGGGTGATTCTAAGTGATCCTGGACAAGTCGAGACCTGGATAGGATATTGCCTCAGGAGGACAACATCAACTTGTGACCTAGCCCCTAAAAACCCCGAACGTCGACAAGCCCTTTTACTTTGAACTGTTACAATTGGTTGTACCGGGATTGTTGAGTACCCGATTGTTTTCCGAAGTTCACACGATAATTATCGCCAATTTTGCTTTATTGTCGAATATGAGTATCTGGTTCAATATTATCGGGTCGGGCAGGAATATAGATTAGTCTGGTAATTTTAAGTTTAAACCTTGGAGAAATCTGGATGGGGAGGTCACATAGCTACATCCATGATTTAGCAAGTGACGACGAAAGCCAAGAGAAGATATCCGCCTGTGCTTTCGGCAACCAACTGCCAAAATTTCTCACTCCATGCAGATATAAGTCTGGTTCGGAAACTATGAGATTGTAAAGGACCACTTGGGTGTAGAGATTTGGCTTCCTCGGAAATGTTGGACCGGATCGTATGATTCTTGACAGGAAATATTGGGAGTTGGACTTTCACAACTGGACAGATCTATGATACACTTCGGGTGAATGGAAAGCCCATGCGCAATCACTCAGGTATCCGCACGCAGGCACAACTTTCCGTCACACAGGACGATACCAACACGTAGCCCAGCCAGGAGTGGCGTACAAATTGATGGCGGGTAATTACTTTCATGTTCAACATGACAGGAAGAATGATTTTTGTAGTAATTTAGGTGAATGACTGAACCAACCAACCTAGCACTAGGTTAATACGATCAGTTTTTCACCTGATATGCTACAAAGCCGGGAAGGCCGCGTTTTCGAGTCATGTCTTGTGTAAAACTTGTGATGGGAGCAAATTGACTACACTAGTTTGGCTGCAGTTCAGTGTAAAGTTGGCTTAACCAGGCTGACTATGTCGTACTAATCGTATAATTGACGGAAATACGTTGTATCGGACCTTGACTACATCAAGACATTTGTTTGTTTTTAAGACTGCGTCAGCATCAGCCATATTTGAGGTTAACAATGTTGACGGCTCGAGTGCCCTAAATATTGGCTACATCAAATTCCAACAACAGAAATCCTTCTTCGTCGCATACGTAAGGCTACTACACCTCTTGTCCTAGAAGTTTAAAAAGACTCGGGATGTACAAACATATTGATACTGTATGCTACACAACATATTTTGCAGAAGGGGCACAATATGTCTACCACCATCAGTATTTGATGGCCCAGGCGTTTTGATAGCTTTTAATAAGAAGTTTCGTAAACGCCTACACAAAATTTTGGCTGATTCTAAAACGGTCTTGTTCACAAACAAACATCCTGATGTAGTCAATGTATATCCGCAAAAAAAAAACAATCATATTCATTCCAAACTTTAAAGATCATATCATATATGCACCTCCAAAAGGTTAAAAACACGTCCTGTTCACCATCGAGGACCACAAATACCTAAACCGGAACGTGACAGAGTAACCGAGTAACTTATAAGTCTAAAAATACATTATCTGGGAACAAATACAAGCAGTAAGACTAATATATTATCGAACTCCGTTTCTCGTTCTCGCTCGTGCAATTCACGCGAGATTTTTGAGACTATGTGCTTTATTACCACATATAAGCCAACATTGGGATTTTCAAGCTGAGAGGGGGGGGGGGTGTAAAAATAGCGGGTTCCTAATAGTAGAAGCACATGTTTACGTAAATCTGAAATTCTGAAATACAATACGAATCACGTAAGGTAGATATTTGCAATAATCGAAACGATATAGGTTCGGACTTCTGAAAATGCAATAGTACAAAAGAGTATAGAGACTCTACTGTGAATATTCGGTGGTTTTTCTTGAACTAGAAGTTTTCCATCCAACATTGAATTTATATAAGACAAGATATCAGGCAAATTTTGAGACTTGGTATATTTTCAAATACTCAACACATAGCAAAATAATCTGCTGCGACATAGGACATATTGAGTCCTCCTGGCCAGCCAACTAGATGTGCCCTTCTATGTCCTCAATGGGATGGAGAGCCAGGTATCACGCGATGGGGCTCTAAGTGCAGCAGAAACACTGCTCTTTTTCTAGGTGTTTTGGTTCTAGGTGTTTTGATTTTTCTTTTTCTTTTTCTCAGGTTGGATTTAGAATTCGTTTATTGATAACTACTATTGAAGGGTTGTTTTTAGTTTAGTTGTTGACACCATATAAATATAGACCGAAGTAATGAGTGGTCAGAGCGGAACTACGTAAACAAAAGTCTTGTCTAAAATGCCCTGATCTTTAGCTCATTGCCGAGGAATTCAACGTATATCGTTTAACTTAACGTTTAGTACGATATAGTCTGCCTGGTTTAGCCAACTTTACACCTTTACGTTTTACGTATGCCAGAATTTTTACGCGAACATGTGTTTCTACTATGAGGAACCCGCTATTTTACAAGGTTACACTCATATAGTTTGAGAGTAGCTCAGAATACGACCAAAGAAAACAATAAACCTCTTTTCAAGTGCGAATCTTTCAGCTAGTTAGAAGTCCTAGGCTGAGCTCAGGACTCGCATTGAGTCTTTATTTGTATTTTGTGTTTCTTCACTAGACTCCAATCCTACTTGAATGTTTCTCTCTCACACAAGGGTCCCGGTATTATCTACCGGTAATTCCGCTATATTTCTGATGACTCTAATATCAGGAATATTTGATCAGGACCCCAAAACTTGGTATATGATAATTCTGTGGTTTTAGGTTTTGGATCAACGTTTTGATAATTTTGTCCTTAGATGCTAGATACTTACAAGAAACTCCGTTTTATGAATGGGACAATATCATGGCTAACATCCTATGCGTTTTGTGAACCCCGCGACTTCCTTTGAACCTTTTGAAACGAAATGGAATGAGATAAACGGAAGGGAAGGGCTTTTCTCAGGTTACTACAAACCCTGATGAATCTCGAATTCCCGATCTGCCACTTACTGCTTATCTAACAAAATCGTTTGATCTGCTGACAAACAGAAAAACTTCTTCAAACTTATTAACTATTGGAGAACAACCTTTGGCTTTAATACACCGTACGTAATAAAAGTAAGGCGCCTACATTGTAAATGTTTTCTGAATCTATTATTAAATGACATAAGAGTACATCGAGTCCTGAGTTCGTACATACGGCAACATACTCGCCCAAGTAGGATATGACGGAAGCTGTTTTAC